TGAAGTTTAAATATGGGTGACTTTGAGTAGAAAACTAGGTCCCACAGACTTTATATATAAAAACCTTGTTAAAACTTTAGTCGCTATCATTATCGTTGAACAGTGTACAATATAAAAGAGGAATGTCCAATCATTCCTGTTTATTATGGCTCTTTTGGTCATTTCAGTGGTTAAACTGGTACATAAAAATCAAGGCAAATGTATATAAATGGGCATTTCTTTATTAAAATCATTGAAATATCAAAAGCAATTTTATTAACAGATCAAATATTTACATACACAATTCACATTCTTAATTAACTTCTTATATATCTAACACTTCTTGGCCACAATTATTCTCCTACTACATAATGTTTGGGCACCGAACATTTAGTGAAATGAAACATAAATGAATTACTGTCATTGACCAGATTAAAGCATCAAAAAAAGTTTTAAACTAAAAATGTTAGGGCACCGAACAATTTCCAAATTAAAACAAAGATAAACTGACAATCGACCGAAGCATTAAATACAAGTTTTCATTCAAAATGTTCGGGCACCGAACAATTTACAAATTAAAAAAAGATTTACTGACGATGGACTCAAGTTTTTAATCAATGTTTTAACCAAAAAATGTTAGGGCACCGAACAATTTCCAAATTAAAACAAAGATTAACTGACAATAGACCGAAGCATTAAAAACAAGTTTTTGTTCAAAATGTTAGGGCACCGAACAATTTACAAATTAAAAAAAGATTTACTGACGATGGACTCAAGTGTTTAATCAATGCTTTAACCAAAAAATGTTAGGGCTCCGAACAATTTCCAAATTAAAACAAAGATTAACTGACAATCGACCAAAGCATTAAATACAAGTTTTTGTTCAAAATGTTAGGGCACCGATCAATTTCCAAATTAAAACAAAGATTTACTGACGATGGGCTTAAGTGTTTAATCAATGTTTTAACCAAAAAAATGTTAGGGCACCGAACAATTTCCAAATTAAAACAAAGATTAACTGACAATAGACCAAAGCATTAAATACAAGTTTTCATTCAAAATGTTAGGACACCGAACAATTTGCAAATTGAAAAAAAAAAGATTTACTGACGATGGACTTAAGTTAAGTGTTTAATCTATGTTTTAACTAAAAATGTTAGGGCACCAAACAATTTCGAAATTTAAAGAAAGATTAACTGAAAATAGACCAAAGCATTAAATACAAGTTTTCATTCAAAATGTTAGGGCACCGAACAATTTCCAAATTAAAACAAAGATTAACTGACAATAGAAAGAAGCATTAAAAACAAGTTTTCATTCAAAATGTTAGGGCAACGAACATTTTGCAAATTAAGAAAAAAAGATTAACGGACAATAGACCAAAGCATTTAATACAAGTTTTCATTCAAAATGTTAGGGCACCAAACGATATCCAAATTAAAACAAAGATTTACTGACAATGGACTTAAGTGTTGAATCAATGTTTTAACTAAAAATGTTAGGGCACCAAACAATTTCCAAAGAAAAACCAAGATTTACTGACAAAAGACCGAAGCATTAACAGACTTGAAATGAAAAAAAGGCTTTCTTCCATGTTATAACACAAATCAGTTTTCTAAGTTTCATGAAAATCAAGGGTTGTTAAAATGTTTGATGAAATGCTACAAGCTTAATGTTTAGCCACCTACTATATAACCAAGAGTAAAAAATATTTACTAGAATATTAAAAATACCGCGTAATTGAATTTCCAGAGGTAGATACTTTTATAAATAATACATGCACAAACATAAATATAAAAACCATGATTTCAAGGTTATTTTCAATTTGACGATTTCTAGGTCAAGTTTCACTAATTTCCGTCAACGTAATATTTCCGTTAAGTGTTACATTTTGGTTGTATAATGGGCCACTAATATTATTCTCCAACATTGACTTGTGTATTCTAGCCTGATTATAATGCTCACTGTTGAAATCATTAGAATCCGTGCCATTATATAAACATTTAAAGTCACGTTTCCATCTATTCAGAATCTCTCTATCATCATATGTAACTTGTCCGTAAACATTAATAATTTCCATTGGTATCGTTTTGCTGCTTCTTGGGCCTAATTTGTTTATTTTCTCCCAGAGTTCTTTAAGATTTTTTGTTGTCATTGTTTCAATTTCTTCCGACTTTGATTTTCTATATGCCCGTTCAGCCTGACTTAATGATTTATCAATCGTGTCCCTTGCTATAATATATTCACGACATAATATAGATATATCCTACGTTTGAGTAATAAAGTACTAATTAGGTTTTTAATATCCTAGAGTTTTTATCTTCTACATAGGAGTTGTAGTTGGAGATGATTTGTTAATTGACATTATTTTGTACATAGTCATTCATACGTTTGTGTGGTATTTTAATATCAGAACTCATTTTGCCGAAGAATTATAGACTCGAAAAGAAAGATCAGTAAACACGTTTTTCCTTGTAAAATACAAATGATATATATGCTGTAAAATCTCACTTCAGCCGAACGTTTTATTTGAATGCAGATTTCATATCGTATACAGATTACATATCTCATGCATATTACATATTCACAAAACTAGTTCACCTCAAGTAAAATGTTCATAACTACGGAAAGCACTGTAGGAGCACATTTGTCTCGGAGCACATTTGTCTCACAAAGTGTGACCGATGTGTTCGTAAACATTCATATTTGCGACAAATTGGAAATGAGACAGATGTGTTCGACAAACAATAGAAAGGACACTCGAAGCACATTTGTCTCACATTTTTCCATAAAATTCTTAAAAGGTAATGATTACGCTCATCCGTATACCGGCTACCGGCCATTCAGATTGTTCTGTGTTTCTGTATTTATAATATCGTTTTGTGGTCACTTCCGGTCAGTCAAAAATGCATAGGAGTCATATTTTAAATTATAAAGAATATACCTGTTCTGCATGTCACAATGAAAAATTTTACAAGTTTATGCAGCAAGTCTATTCTTATCGTTATTAATTGTGATACGTTTATTTTCAATGCTTAAAGTTTTATAAATGATTTATGGCACTAGAAATATTCTTAGCAAAAACAAGGTAGTATCTACGGTGGCATAAAGGGGACATAGAATTTTCTTATTTGTTACGTGCGCACACGATAGCTTTTGCGTGGCCATGCGATACTATTACGTGCGCACGCGATAGCAATTGCGTGCGCACGCGGATATGTATTCCGCATATGGACCCTGACCGGGATCCTCGCATGAATAGTTCGACGCCCCGTGTATGTGTCGAGAGCCTACAGTGGTTAGGGGCAAGTGTTTGTTTTTTTTTAAATCACTCGGCCACGGAGGCCCTTAAATGATCTATAAAAGAAAATAAGAAGACCATTACACACTATTTTGTTTTCATCAGAAATATATGTATAAAAATCGTCATTCTTTCAGATCCGCCATTGAAAAAGCACTTAAAACATGCATGACTTACTGAAATAATCCGGGTTATGCCATAATTATGGAATATCGGGCCACTCAGAATCGAGCGAGACGCGACATTCCGATGAGAAACGAAGCGAGACACGATATTGTAACACGAGATCTCGCAATGTCGAAGTATCCCGTACCACGAGATTTCCGAAATGAATAAATTTTTGCTTCTTTAGATAGGGCAAGTATGAATTTATTAATATTCAAATAATGATTTCTGAGGAAGTTAGATGCTTGTAACCCAAAAAAATTCGCGATAAATGTAAAATAATGCGTCATAAAAGTAGAAAATGTAAACAAAGTAGTATTTTGACTTCAATACAAAATTTTAAATCACTTCAACTGTACAAACTGCAAAAAAGCAGACTAGAAGACTATAAAGGCGGTATATGACCTGGAATCAATTTCTTCTCTCGCGTCGACAAACGAGATGCGCAGCGAGACGCGACATCTCGCTCGACGCGAGATTTCGCTCGACGCGAGATTTCGGCGAGATGCGAAACGAGTCACGATATTATATCATTCAATATCAACCGATTACAGTGTTCCGTTTGGACATAAGTAACATTTTTGTCTCCATGAACAGCTATGCACAATGGTACAAAGGTGAAATTGAGATGGTACGATGGTTAACACACGATGGCACGGTGGTGAAATCACGATGATACGATGACACGATAGAGAAAATAATATCGCGTTTTCATCATCATACAATTGCAGTTTCATCATACCGTACCATCGTATTTTCACCATCGTAACATCGTCTTTCACCATAGTACGATCACGTTTTCATCATCGAGCCTTCGTCTTTCACCATAGTACAATCACGTTTTCATCATCGAGTCTTCGTTGTTTCACCATCGTACGATCACGTTTTTATCATCGAGCCTTCGTTGTTTCACCATCGTACGATCACGTTTTTATCATCGAGCCTTCGTTGTTTCACCATAGTACGATCACGTTTTCATCATCGAGCCTTCGTTGTTTCATCATCGAACAATCGTTGTTTCACTATCGTACAATCGTTGTTTCACGTTCGTACCAATGTGTTTTCACCATTGCAGCATGGCTTTTTCATCAACGTACCGTCGTGCCATCGCGCTGTCACCATTGTACCATCGTCAACGGGATTTAGTATGTTTCAGTGTACGCCTTCAGGTTAAGCCAATCAATTTCTTGAATTAGAGATATTATAATTAATAGTTCACTTAAGGTTTTCATAAAGAAAGCATAAGCAAACACTTGACATGAGGTGAAACAGCGAACCTCGATTCTAAAAAAGAATTTCTGCCGTGGAGAAATATGTGAAAAATAATTCATAAAAAAATGACATGAGACAAATGTGTTTTTGTGTCCCTTAAAAACACATGAGACGAATGTGCTTTCTTGTCCCTTAGAAAACTTGTTCGGAGCACATTTGTCACACACATGAGTTTTTTGGGGTAGACATTTGAGGTCCCATTTGTCTCATGTGGGACAAATGCGACCGCATCGGTCTTACGTAAGACAAATGTGCTCCGAGACAAATGTGCTCCTACAAAGCACACATCATATAAATTGTAACATCAGTCGAGAAAAGAGAAAACTGTTTGTTTGTTTTTTTTTTCAAAATGAACGGTGTGACTTGATAAATTTATGATATAATAAATGTGACCGCATAACATTACGCGCAAAAAGTAAGTATATCCAACAATTAAGATAATATTCCCAGTAATGAAAACACTTTGTTACACAAAAATCCAAATATTTTATCCCCTTCTCAAAATCGCACCTTCACCGCTAGTATCAGGTAACAGCTACCTTCTTTTGAACATATAAATATGACGCAATGCCATAAACTGAATTAATGAATCCTTTACTCGGTTGTTCTCCTTTTTTCTCGGTATCCTTGTTTTGCGCAGTTGTAAAGGAATTTGGATCCTGAAAACATACAACAAACGTATGCTGTGTGTATTTTATTACAAGGTAAAAATCTTAATTGATATGAGATGGTCTCTTTCAGATGGCAACGAAGTGTCAATTTTTTTAATTCTACTGCATTCTTCTTAAAAATTTCAACATTTAAATAAAAAAGCATAAAAAGTTTCATTGTTAATAAAAATGAAAAGTTATTAACCATTTCACTTTGACTCTCATCTTGGTGTAAACTTAATCCGAGTTCGTCAATTCGTATTTCCGAATCTTTGCAAATACCACTTTGAGTTTCTAAAAAATAAAATACTCGGATTTAGAACAATTTGATATTAAAGCCCTATTAGATATTCTGAGTGCAAGCCTGAGATAATGTGTTAAAATGGAATGTTTTTATGTTACAGTGTGTTAAGGAAAAAAGATGTATTTATTTTCCCATATGTTTTAATGAAGTTCTTTTACATTGTTACAATTTTGTATGATTGTCATAAACTTAAAGTTAACAGTAGTTCAACTTATCTCAGAAATATTTATATAATAAATGACAAGCACCAATTATATACCTGAATTAAGGCCGGGCTTAGTTGATGCTGTAGCGCTGTTTTTTAAGTTTGCATCTATAAAGGTACATTCTTCGGCCAAGAAACTAACTTCTTCGTCATTTTCATTTCTGTTTTGAGCTGTATTTAACCATGTTATGATAACATTTATTATTTACTCACTGCATATAAGTATCTGTTTCCAAATAATTGTTTTAATCTTTTGTATATTTTGTCCAAGTAAGTCTGATGCTACGAAGAAAATAATGCAGGTAAATGTAAAAAAAATGTGCATGCCTGAATAGTGAATACACAAGGCAGCAGTGTAATAGACTATTTTATTAATACCGACTTGATACAATTTATTTAACATTTTAAGTAAATGACCCGATATTTTGTCTGATCATTTCTGTGTTCACTTTTATTCAAAAATGAGGATAAACCTGGAAATGATTATTCTAATATTCATTACAATGATAAATGGAAAAGCATAAAAAACGGAAATTTATAATAGAAGTTTATGTAGCAAAAGTGTTCTGAATGAATATGTTTATATATGTCAAAATGTTGATGATGCTGTAAGTAGTCATGAAATAGAATCATCTTTGTAATTTTTCTGCAATATTTAAAAAGATGTATGTATTCCATTATTTAAAGAAATGTTACAAATAACATAAGTTCTAACATAAGAACTAAATATTTGGAGAAATAATAAATGTAATAAAAAAAGGGCATAAATTGTACTTGCTCGTTGTAATCTTAAAACTACTCTCAGGAAAATAAAATTTATAAAATGATGAGCAAACGCACATATTGAAAATTCTAGGCTTTGTAATGCTAGGTAAAATCTGAAAATGTTTAAAGGCACTGTTTCTGAAATCAATTAATAATAATTAATAAATTTTTCATAATTTGGGCTGAAAAATTGCAATTTTTATATCAATTATACATGCTAAATCATTTTGTCATTCTGTATTAAATTGAAAAAGTTTCACAAACTTACAAAAGAATTGAAATTTCCGATACATTACACCGATTTAACATTAATGTATAATTTTTGATAAGTGAACAACGTGTTTAAATACTGAATAATTTTATTTTAACAGTGAATGTTATAATTCAAGCATGTGTATGTACTGCAGATCGGTTAATATTTTTATGCTCCCCTTCAAAGAAGCGGGGGAATATTGCTTTGCATTTGTCTGTCGGTCGATCCGTCAGTCTGTCGGTCCGTCAGTCCAAAAACCAAATGGTTTCCGAGTGAAAACTAAAGAACGCTTAGGCCTAGGAACTTCAAACTTGGTATTGTGATTGTTCATGATCATCAAAGGTGAAGGTCACATTTACCTTGCAGGTAAAAACGGTTTCCGATCAATAACTAATAACATGATTCATAAAATTTATGCATATGTTATTTGGTATGATTTGTGATCACTTTGTCATAAAATTGCTGCACACAACCTTTGCGGTCACAATTAGCTAGTGACTATTCCATTACCTGTAGATAACCCTTATTGATTTTTTGGTCACTAGGTCAAAAGGTCTTTATAACCTGATGACATTACTACTTGGCTGCCAATAGGGGGCATGCATGTTTTACAAACATATCTTGTTTACATTATGTTAAATATAATATTGATGATGTCTTTGTCTGAGACTCACTGAATCTTAGAAAACGTTATACTACTAAGAAGGTGATATAAGTCTCTTAGAAGGGTATGCATTTTTGACTGATAATTGTACACACAGGTCGACAATGAATTTCGGATTGTATGTAATGATACATATGAATTATCACACACTGGTAATTTATGTATGTATGTTTTGTGTATATTTGATACATGAATTATGTGATCCAAGTTTACTTTAATAAAATTTCTGACATTGAACTATGCTTGTGTCGTTTATTGAAAGAAAACTTATAATTAATTCATGTCTAGTCCAATAGAAAAAGAAATCTTAGTAACGTTTTTGCAATGTTTATCCTGCCGTAGTTTTAAAACCGTTGCAACGTTTAACCTTGTAAATATTGACTTAAATTTGTAATACATCCATTTATTGTTTGAAAGAAGATCGGTTATACCATGGTTCTTTTATTTCTGCATTTCAAAAATGACTTTATACTACGCATGCGTTTTCCTCGTTGCCAACCTCTATCAGACTATTTGACATAAATTCTACTACAGTCATAAATTTTTTATTTATATTTAGTACTTTTTGTATTTACTTTTAGATTAGATAAACGTTCATGCATACACTTATAAATCTTGCAAATCAAGTATTAATTAAAAGCTTTTATTATGAATACATAAACACTTTTATCCCAGATTACAATACTCAAGAATAATTATTTCTAGAATGATAAAAGCGGGAATAGAAGTCAAATGTAATGTAAAAATACCAACATGTAGACATCGTGTTCTCTTCGGTATCTCCTCTTTCAGACAATCTCTGTCTGTTCCAAATAAAAAAAAAGAAAAGAAAATTTAAGATTAATAATAATTGCACATTGTGAAGTCTATGGAACAGAATTAATGCATTTATTCCATCTTGCTTTATGATATCGGAACTTACATTATGCTTGCTTCTATACTTCTTTATGACAATGAAAACCTGCGTTTTGCTGAATTCAATCATGCCTTATGATTACTGAATGCACTTTCATGTAATTGCAACCTTGTGTGTTCCCTACTAAACCATCAAACTCACATATTTTAATATGCTATATGTTTAATTGCATCTTTTTTTAAGGACAACGTATTATGTTTGGTGTTTAAGATAACATTCTTTATAACTATATGTAACATGGTAGTTGTATCTTTAATTTGCTATAAATCTGCCACTTATATTGTCGACATTATGTCAAATTAAACTATTCATTTTGATCAATAATTGGCTGATTTGATGTGTCTTAGCATTCACATGCTTCAATTTATTCACTGATTACAAATACAATGCAATACATGATCACTGCGCATCAACAACGAAGATGACAACGATAACGATATTATAGTCGCATGTGACAGTACGCACTAAGCAGTTGGCAGTAAGCATAATGCGAGTTGCAATAATTTGTGTTCATATTATGACAGCAGGTGTCGCTTTGTCGGTACATCCCGTTATTTTCCGGATGATCCCGTATTTTGGCAAAGTTACGTCCACTTTATATAGGGGCGTATACAGAACAGTGTTAGTTGGAGACTGACATGTAAATTTACTGAAAAACAAGAGAACACGATGCGACAGACGAAAAGTGCGTGTTTTTGAAGATTCCGCCAGCATGTGGAAAAAAAGTTATATATGTCTCTAATAACTCATCCTACAAGTGGCAACTCACCTCTTATACAATTGTTTACACTTCTTTTTGAGCGTGTGTGATAAGTGAAATTGAATTTTATCAAACTTAAGGTGGCACAAAGGTGACATGTGTGTGTTTTTATTTATCTCGTGCGCACGAGATACTGTGTCGTGGCCACGGGTTACTAAGTCGTGGCCACGAGATAGTTAAGTCGTGGGAACGAGATACTATGTTGTGGCCACGAGTTACTAAGTCGTGGCCACGAGGTAATTAAGTCGTGGGAACGAGATAACTTAGTCGTGGCCACGAGTTACTAAGTCGTGGCCACGAGATAAATAAGTCGTTGGAACAAGTTACTATGTCGTGGCCACGAGAAAGTTTAGTCGTGGCCACGAGAAAGTTAAGTCGTGCGAACGAGATAAATAACCAATCAAATTACACTATTTATATGAATTTTCCTAACAAGGATGCCCCTACTTCACTTGCCCGTAAAAGTGCCATTTATACAAGTTATTGATTGGTCAAAGATTTAGCGTCATTGTGACCCTGATTTCTGACCAAATTGCCTAAAAATTATTAGGTGTCATCTACTGATCTTTTTAGGTTATATAAACTACGGCTTATTCTTTCTAAATCATTCATCAGACAAGGATTTTACATGAAGTGTCATGTTTATCTGACCTGTGACCTCAAACATCCTTATAGGATATCTACTGTCCATGGGCAATGTCCCTTCCCAGGACTAAGTCCCTCTCAAGTTATGGTATACTAGTAAACAATGTTAACAGGCCTTTGTACGTACAAAATGACCAATTCTATCATAGAATTGTCCCAACAAAGGGCTATAACTTAGTCAAAATTAATGTCTGATTTATGGGCCTTATGATTCTAAAGACATGTATTAAGTTCAAAGTGAACACTTCAGTATTTTCAAAGATTAATGTTGCACGTAAATCTTTAAACAGAAATTTTCTAAGTTTAAGAAATCATGGTGTAATCTTATTTAATTATCTCGTCTGCACGACTTAGTTATCTCGTTCCCACAACTTAAACGACTTAGTAACTCGTGGCCGTGACATAGTATCTCGTGGCTACGATATAGTATCTCGTTCCCACGACTTAACTATCTCGTGGCCACGACTTAGTAACTTGTGGCCACGACACAGTATCTCGTGCGCACGAGATAAATAAAAACACACACATGTCACTTAGTAACTCGTGGCCACGACTTAGTACAGTACAAACTTGATTTTTTTTTGTAAAATAAAATATAATTTGGCTTGACACAAACATTGTGCTTTAAATACTTTACACTGTAAGTGGGCAGTATGAATATTCATGTATAGTGTTATTACAAAAATATATATAGAAGTTTCTTTTAAAGACAGACACAACTTTACTTGACCCGTAATAAGGAAAGCAGATTCCTATACATTATGTGTATGTGTTTTTATTTAAATAAAACATATTTAGTAAGAATTTTATAGATTTCAATAAATTTCTGTGATAAAAATATATTACTGAAGCACAAATGTATGTGAATGTGGTGGTGTGTGCGGGATGTCTGACACATATGCCCAACATTTGTAATTGACTATGCACATGTCACAAAAATAAACAACTTCCTTCTTTCCTTATTATACATGTATATTTTAATGTGTTACATACCTATTCGCCACTATTAGTGACTCTGAGACATTTATTAAGTTAAAAGGCCAATTAATAAGTTTTGCTTTTAATGTCCAAGTCATTAGATAAAGACCTTCGCAATCGCAGTACCTAGGCAGGTGCTTAACAACTGGATGACAGCATTATATGTTTTGATAAGGGAGTACACTATGACCACTATTGCAGGAAACTTACACGTATATATTCCATCCCAGCTCATCAACGTATCTTTAGGGGTAGGTGCAGCCCTTAAGCCAAAGCCTGAATCCGCCACTGTACGCATAACTGCCCCATTGAATAACTGTTTACGAGCATATTTTTTTTCTATTAGACTGTATACATATACATGTATAAAATAATATTACATCATCCTTACTACTTGTATTTATATTCTTTCCACTGCAATTTATGTATTAAGCGCTTGGTACGTATTGATAGCATTGTCGCCCTCTGTAGTTTAACGTATAACCACAATGGCCCTAACGGTATTCCGTAATATATACATGTCCGGAAAATTCCGATGATAGGCGAATCATGGAAAAAATCCGTTGATAAAAGAGTTCTCGCCCCTTAACAGTTCACAAATCGCTAGACATTGTTTAAATTGTTTATCATAATGTAAGATGATCAAACATAATCCACAAAGCCTCAGACACCGAGCTTTATTAAGCATAAACACTGAATAATGGATATAAGCGAAAGCTAATAGTAATCACGCCATGCGAGCTGTAAATCAAATAAGTCACATTTTAACAAAATCCATCAGGGAACAAAAAATAGTCAATTTTAAATGACTTCTACATAAAAGTAATACAAAAAAACTAAACCGTAAAAAGTTTGTATAGAGCATGAAGAAAGGTAGCTTATACATAAAGGTATAAGACGTTAACATTTTAGTATTCCAAATGGCTTGTTCCAGTTTAATAGTTATCACTCAATGAAAGAATTGGTCACTACGAAATGTTTGAATGAAATAATGAAAAATGGAATCCAGAATAATGCAACGTTTAAATATCATAAAGCAAGATGGAATCAATAATAATGCAAGTTCTAATGTCATGTAGCAAGATGGAATTAAGCATAATGCAAGTTCCAATGTCATCAAGCAAGATGGAATCAAGCATAATGCAAGTTCCAATGTCATCAAGCAAGATGGAATTAAGAATAATGCAAGTTTCAATGTCATCAAGCAAGATAAAATAAATGCATTAATTCTGTTCCATAGAAGTCAAAATATCACTTCGCAATTCACAGCAACTAAAAGACACTTCACTGAAGTCAAAAAACCTAAAATCATAAAATCTTAATTTGTAACATAGATCAGCTGGGACACTCAATACAGAATGATATGCAAAACAAGAAATATTCTCAGAAATAAATTTAAAATCGTAATTTTGAGCTATTTTAAACCTGATTTGAGTGAAAAAGAACGCTTATAAATTCCGGGTCATTTTTAATAATTGGAATAAATATTCTGGAAAAAATGAGTGAACGAGTGATCTGACATTGTGCACACAAGTTCTTGGGCCTACCCTTTTTTTAATCAAACATTAACCTCTGATAAATATTTCCAGTCCAATCATGTCAAGTGGAGTTCCTTTTAATTTATGTTTGGTATTATAATTAAATAAATTCTAGTTTGTTTTTCCCTAAAGTACGAATCATGCGTATATACTAAGACAGGGAATGCAGTGATTCTCGCCTTCAGCTTGTTAAAATATAGATCACGAACAAAACAATTAGTATTTTGAAAAAGACAAATAGACACATTCAATTCAATTGTATCTAAAAATGAAAATAATTGTATATTAAAAGTAAATAATGTTACTACCATACAACTGTTAATAAAGAAATTGACAGTAGAACCTAGAAAATCAATCAACATCTGTTTTATTTTATGTAGATAAATGCATTAAAACTCAAAAGCTTAAATAGATTGTTTGTAGAATAAATATTTCAGGTTTGTCAATTTATTAGGAAAAAAAATGCTCAATTGTTTTTATAAAATACGAATCATCTTATTTTTATTTGTGTTCCATTTAAAAATTATTAAGAAAAGTAACAGCTTTATGTAGGTTAATGTTTAATAATACGTATTATTAAACATTGTAGGTTAATGTTTAATAATACGTATTATTAAACATTAACCTATTTAATGATCACCAAAAGCAAGGCATTTCTCTTAACTGCCGATAGCCCCGCCCTTTTGCACCTGCACTCCTAAATGGTCAAGTTTCTTACATGTCACATTTAGATAAGCTAAATAAATGGCCTTTCAACAAATAATTAGGCACATTTTCACTGGAAGAAAATTATGTTTTTGCTTACCTTTTCTATAAAATATAAAGTTTAAAATAGTCATCAATGTATAACAGACATTAGAGTTAAAATTCTTAGAGTTAAAAGGATATCAAAATGTTACTGTGTAATCATTTGTCTCTGTGAGCCCCATGTGTATTATTTATGTAATAAATTTGATTGTATCTTCACATTTAGAAACACCTGACCACGCCCAATTCCTTTTTTACGTTGGCATTGTTTTGAAGCCAAAGGTTTTTGAAGCCATAACTCTGCCGTACCTGTGTCGTATTACGGAAAGAGAACAACTCACAGTTGTTTCATACTTTATTACTGATACACAAGTGTACGAGTCAACTATCAAATTCGAACTCCCTTGACTGGGCGTTGAGACTTCTATTTATAATGACAGCTTGTAATAATGACAATTTATAATGCATATACATGCACGCGTTTAGAGTTACATGTAGAACTCTCATTAATCATTTTTGACATATTATTACCACCCAGTCCAGTTTGCATGACTTGTATATTGTAATATAATATATATAAATCAAATGTCATATTTTACAGTTCACATTATGAAATAAACACATGCACTTATATTAAAATCTTTGTTGTCATCACACCATGAAATAAAAACATATTGTAAAATCGTGTTCATTATTCTTTTACATAACTTATGTCTGACTAATTAACCTGTGTAATCAACTATACGACACCTACATATTTTACACCTCTAACTCGTTCCTCATATAATGCATTATTTAAATTAGTTAGACTGGTTAGACGACTGAATAAGTAAATTTTATTTAGTTAGTACACATTAACCAAAGTTAGACTTAGCAGTAATTTGAAAAATACTGGGACTAAACAAAAAAAATAATGTTGATCATTTTCATACCTGTGAAAGTAGATGCGATTAAAAAATACTGTAAGTGCAAGTAAATTAAGCGTAGCAGCTACCGCAAATACCACAAATACCACAACTACCACATAGTATCTGTCTGAATTAGATTGTTCTTTATCTGCAAGGAGAATCAATATGTTGCCTTTTGTAGTTTTTAACTACACTTTTACCAGGAATAGAAATAAAAACTTCGTTAAATTACAAAGTACAATTATTATAACATGTTAGTTTCTATGAAAGTTACAGACTAATTTACAGCATAGGGTGTCAAACTCAGAGTTTGTAAGCATTCACCCCGCCTTTCACGCAAATATGTGTCATTTATTTTTGAGATAAATCGACAATTTACCTTCATCTTCAAAAATTAGAATACATGTTGGTATAACTAAATGAAGGAGAATTCTATTAAGCAATAATCACCGAATATAAAATACGGTATATTCATAGAAGTATTTGCTTGGGTCTGGATGTATACATGTAGGAAAACAGCAAAAACATAAGATTTTAAATCATTAGTTACTACGAGAATATATCCATGTGAATAGAAAAGGATAAATCATTATATACTTGTATATGCAATAGGATTTGAGTGTCAAGCAATGAAACGAAACATTGGATGTGTGTTATCGTACAAATGTCATCTTTGTAAAAATAGCTAAAAAGAGGAAATTGTCCGAGGCAGACGGCAAATGACCTAAAATCCTAATTGCAATTAATATGAAATAAGACAATAATACCTTGTTCTTCAATTATATACTTCTGGCCAGAATAGCCTGAACTAAATGACTCTTTGCTCTCATTTCCGTACATCGCTGTGACTTTTAAATAATAGTTTCCTTCAGCACTGGCATTAGCGGCTATTGTCTCTGAAAAGTGCACTTGCATGCTATTTCCGCAATCGGAATCATTTGTACAACTTGTATTGCTTTTGACTATGCGTTTTGGATTGAATTCCGTTTCAACATTACTGCTAGCCTAGAAAAAATAAAGATATAACATATCAAACTGTGAAGTGGCATGTGTGTCATTAGGGCGGGTGTGGGTATTACCGAACACTTAAGGTGAAATAAGGATTATTCGGTTATACACGCAGTACTAACCTTTGACGAATATGAGTTTTCTTTTACATTAACATGCCAGAAACATCTATCTACGCACTTAATACAAAGAGTTAAGACATTTTATACCATATGTGTGTAATACCGAACACACATGCGTATATTTCCGAACACTGCCAACTTTTTTAATAAAATGTTAACCTTCACCTGAAAAATGACTAGATTTATAACAATATCATTTCATTATTGATACGAGCAATATTTGTTTCAAAAGTAGTCACTATTGAACAGTGTTTTACGTGTTCAAATGTGTTATTAAATGATTTAAAGACCTATTAATTTTTATCCAATTACACCTAACAGTATTCCGACTCAAAAGGAATTGTACTTGTCAGATACTAAGGTTATGTGAAACCTAATAAATCTGTATCCTTTAACTTCTCCTCAAGGAATTGTTTGAAATAAAAAAAATCTTTAAACCTTTTCTGGGGAAGCAATCGCTCTCATTTTACCAAGTTGAATGGTTGTTTGAAGGGTCAGTTCAGGGTTGCGGCGAAAGTAACCCTCCAGCCAAGATCTACCGGGTTCGTTTTCACGAAAGACCATACATTTCACCATCAAGTATTTTCAAGTTCAAGTGTGTGCTAGCTCTTGTCTTGTGCGTCTTTATCCGATATGTAATATGTACATGGCCAATTCAACAATACGTCTTTCCTCAGACTAGCTGTTGCATCTCTACCCAAGAGTTACCAAATCTTGTAGCATCCTCATACTTTATGACTGGTGTATTTCATAGGAGAGTATTGTGAGGGTAGGACTTTGGAATCCCGTACTTTTCTGATGCTTGGTTTCAACTTTTAGAGTTTGAACGAAAATGGTCAAGCATTTCTGCTGAATATCGCCTGCTTATTTATAAAATTTCTTTTTTTTAATCTATAATTATATTTGTCTCTCTGTCTGATATTATTATACTTTTACTAGAGCTATTTATTTATCTATTTATTTATTTATCTTTCTATTCATTTGTTAAATGATTGACAAATTGAAAGAATGAATGAATAAATGAATGAATTTATGAATTAACTGATTAATAACTGATTAGTTATTTTAATTTATATAATTATAAAATTTATTTATTTATTTATTTTTATTTATTTATTTATTTATTTATTTATTTATTTATTTATTTATTTATTTATTTATTTATTTATTTATTTATTTATCCATTTAGATGTATAAAATTATTTATTTTACAACTAGATCTATAACTATATTAAGATAAACTTATTAAGCTATAATGATGATAACAATGTTTTTTAAATTATTGTGGAGCACTGTAGGAGCACATTTTTCTCGGGGCACATTTGACTTACGTAAGACGATGCGGTCGCATTTGTCCAACATGAGACAAATGGTACCTAAAATGTCTACCAAAAAACACCTTTGCGTGACAATGGGCACACTTAAATAAATACGACCTTTGCTCTACCAAAATTTCAAAAAACATATTCATGATGAAATTTAAACAGAAAACAACTTAGATTAAATTTAGACGTCTATGGCCATGCAGAGTGAAACAATAGAGTCAAATAACCTGTCGGCCAGTACGCGACAAGGCCAGATGGCTCATTCGATGTTTCTTTTACCATAGTGAGGCCTTTGACAAGCACAAACACGATGCGATTTTACTGAAAACACGAAAAGCGAAATTTCAGCAAAACATGAAGCGAGGCACGATATTCTACCGTGAAATCTCGTGGTACGGGATTCTTTGGCATTGCGAGATCTCGTGTTACAATATCGTACCTTGCTTCGTGTCTCGTCGAAATGTCGCGTCTCGCCCGATTCTGCGAGGCCAAATATTTTATAGTTATGGTATTCCCCGGATTCTTTTAGAAACTCATGTTCGTTGTAAGTTCTTTTTCAACGGTGGATCTGTAAACGGCAATTTTAGGAAAATAGCGATATTTGTTTTTCTTTTTGATGAAAACAAAATACGTGTAAGATGGTCTTCTCAATTTCTTCCTTAGATCATTTACAGGCCTCCGTGGCCGTGTAATTTTAGAGAGAAAAACACTTGTCCCTGAACACTATAGGTTCGACACTCACTCGGGGCGTCGAACTATTCATGCGAGGAAGCCCGTCCGGGGTCCAAATGCAGAATACTTATCCGCGTGCGCACGTAATAGTAATCGCGTGCGCACGCAAAAACTATCCCTTTAGAACGTATATAGCTATCGCACGTGCACGTATAAAATAAGAAAATTTTATGTCCCCTTTACGCCACTGTATATATTACCTTGGTGTGTTTAGAATATTTCTTTAATCATTGATAAAACTTTAAGCATCGAAAAGAAACGTGCCACAATTAATAACGATAAGAATGGACTCGCTGCATATGTGTTAGGGTTCTGGGTGCCGTTTTATCAACGGTCGTACGCCCGGTCGTAGCTAAGATTTGGTCGTACGACCGATCTTACGGCTACGTCGCGTTTTATCAACATGGTCGTAGCTAAGACGTCGTAGATTAACGTCGTAACTTTAAGGCTGCTTCAGACCAGTCGTAAGTAGACTAAAGATCTTAAAAATGGCGGCCATTTTTGAATAATTCCCGATAGGAACTTTCAAACACAAATATTTGAACAATTGAAGTTTCCAACTAACTTAGGTTTTCCGCGTACATGTTTATGTACAGTGCTGATTCTATTGACCAGATTAATCTCATGATAATTTCCACGAAGAAGCTATGGTTAGTTATATTACTTTAATTTTAGTACAACCGACGTATATATGTGTGTTTAATATAACTCCTGTCACATCTGTAGCTAGATTAGCAAATGATTCTTACAATTTTCTATACCGTTTCCTACTTTTCTTTTCGAAATATTTTAGTACAGAAATTTCGGACAGTGCAGATTTCGGACAGAATATAGATCTAACAATTGTCAATAACAATTGTGTTAATTGTCAAGCTATTAAACCAATTTGATTGTTATAATTAGTTAAGTATGTTCTTTTGTAGACCTTTCAATGAAGTTGCTACAGTATCTATGTGAAAGACAAGTCTTAATAATGTGAAATCAACATGGCAACATTATGTTAACCTACAGTACAGTGCTGTAATGGGAATACAAATGAAACTGCAGCACTGTTGTTTGGTAAAGCATGTACATGTATGCGAAATGAACATCTTTAGATCCAATTTGGTGTATCACATGAAAAGAGGATTGTAAACAAAGGACAAGTAACTTGTGCAGACAGGTGAGTTTGAAATATAGACAGTTTTAGAGTTCACTTCACCCCTCTTTCTATGAAATCTGATTAAAGCACTACACCTCCCTTTTTGTTTATGTGTTGTTATGTGCTTTACACAAATTAAGGTGGAACATGTGAAATGCAATCAATTATGGTGATTAAAATATTCATTGTTTTAACACATTTCTTGTTATATAATAAGTATGGACCAAATCAAAATAGAGATATTACTTTTCCCCTAATATATTTACATGTGTATGATATTAATGATAATCAATTGAGTACATTATATTTTTTCTAAAATATAATAATCACATTAAAACTTCAAAATAAGTTTGACTATTTAAAATAACTTATTTTGTATTAGTCATTTAAAGTGGGTGACCTACTATCTTAGATATGAGATATCTCTTTCACCCCTCATTTGTTCTACCATTGATACTGGGAAATACATGTATGTCCCAGATTGACAGAACATTGATAGTTATATTGAAAATCACACATAATATTTTTTATCAACAATTATATAGCAGATTTTTCTTTATTTTTGTGTCATATTGATACTTTAAATTGTCTTTCATGTGATGTTTCAGAAAATGGTGTAATATATTGAAGTTCCATGTTGCAAGTTAACTTGTCAGGGTTAAAAATATTGAAAATTGCCTTGAGCTAAACATTTTACAAAAAAAAAATACTAAAAGAAGAAAATTAACAGACAAAAGGTTTATTTGTTGTTGAAATATTTATTCTAGAAATAATCAGGGATGATGGGTGAAGTGTCTTACTGATTTTGGGGTGTGAAGTGTCTTCAGAGGTTAAGTGTCTTGTTTACACATTTAAACAAATACTATTTTATTATATATTGTAGTAATGTTAGATTTGTGGGAATCATTATAAGATTTACTCATAGGTTGTTAAAGTTTATGTAGATATTATCCTAGTAGGCTTCTTTTCAGGTATTACTTGATTTTTAGCTCGACTATTCGATAAGAATAAGTAGAGCTATTGTAGTCACCCGAGCGTCGGCGTCGGCGTTGGTGTCCGCGTCGGCGTAACCACTTATTTTAAAGTTTTTGTAATAGTTCAAATATTTTCAAAGTCCATTGACATATGGCTTTGAAACTTGGCACACTTGTTCACCATCATTATCCCAACCTATAAACAGGAGGAGGTAACTGTATCAAGCATTTTGACAGAATTATGCCCCTTTTTCGACTTAGAATTTACGTTAAAGTTTTTGTAATAGTTCAAATATTTTCAAAGTCCATTGACATATGGCTTTGAAACTTTGCACACTTGTTCACCATCATTACCCCAACCTGTAAACAGGAGGAGGTAATTGTATCAAGCATTTTTTTTACTATCAAGCACTAAGAATAGTCGAGCGTTGCTGTCCTACCGACAGCTCTTGTTGTTTATACATGTACATGCTATATAGTTTCTCTGAAATTGTAGCTGAATTTTTATCTGATTTTCCTTACAGATATAAGGCAGCATGAATAGTTAGTACTTGGTGCATCTGCTGATTAATGTGTTTGTCAAAGAGGACATTAACAATGATGAGGCTGTATATCACCAGTGTCAGTAGTGACAAACTTATTTTAGAAACAGTAATATAAAAGTAAAATGACCTTACACTGTCAGGGAACTGGCAGTTATAGAGGAATATAAAAGAAATTCAACAGTGAGAACTTCTTTAAAAGCTCAATGACTGTGACTGGCAAATTCACATATTTCAAAGACATACATAATTATTGAATAAAAACTATTCACATTTAGTTTATAGGGATTTCATTTGAATTATACATTTTCAAATTTATCCGTTCATGACATTTCATATGAGATAGTTTGTAAAAAAATATTGTATCAAATTACAATGTTAATTATTTGATTTTAGGTCAGAATATTCTCTGTAATGTTTCAGATTACTGCTGAATGATGGAAGGTTTTACAGCTAAACAATCTTATGATTGGAATCAATATCCAGGGGCAGCTCTCCCTTACAGGGTCCAAGTGTTGTGACCTTGTTATATGGCCAACAAAGGGCATATAAGTCCTAAAGATAGTTCAGAATAAAGTTATATAGACTATCAAACATTTCATCAATTTACCAATATCTGTAAGATAAGGTACATTATGTATAATCTAATACATTCCATAATAACTTTGTTTCTACATGCACATGAATAAAAATAACACTTAAGTATGGTCACAAAGGGACAGTCAGTGATCTACAATTATTACCCTGAATGCATGTAAGAAGCTTTATGTGAATGCTTTTAATGATTAATGAAAACATATACATAGGTTAGGTCTTTAAGTTGTTTTTGAATATATATTTTGGATGGTACATGTATGTACTGACTGTATATTCACTTGTCTTAAGTGTCAAAACTATATATAGCTATTGATGTATGTCAAAATCAAATATCTATATTTCTTGAGGTGATAACTTTACTAAATCATTCTCTTGAATAACATTATGAAATGTTAGACTTGAAAGGAATACACAGCCAAATGATGTTCTTCTCTGTATTCAATTGGATTAAAGTGACTTTGAAAAAAAAGATTTATGTGTTACAATTCATAACATGAGATAAATCAATGTAACATATGTGTTTATATTGATATTTATTGATTTATTGTTACTTGAATGCATTAAAATTGTTGGGATGAATATTAAAAACACAAAGAAAATAACACAAAAGGGACACTAATTGAAATAAACAATTGTAATACAGAATTCCCTGGAAGTGACAATTTATCTTTAATGTGCTAAGTTTATAATCATCTTTGTCTTAACTGCTCTTGTCTGAATAGTACCTTGTGTCTGTTAAAACATATTATTTTTATATTGTTATCTACTTTCAAGGTTGTTTTCTAGTAGATATGTAAATAAATTCTCAACAGGTATCATAAAAAAATAATATGAATTAGAAAAAGTTGTAACATCTCATTTCAATGTCATAATTTACTGTCCTATATCTATTTATCATACTGGAATAATAATAAATGACTGTAACATTCCAACACTTTTCTGTTCTGTAGATACCCTTCACAAATCAGCCAGCCATACTTGGATCCTACCTTATTAACCGGACAAAGAAATAATGTTTTTTTCGCCGTATTTTTCTTTTAAATAATAAAAACGAATGGAATTTTACCCAAATAATTTTGGGTTTTTATAAAGCACGTAAACATTACTTAATCGGACATAAAATTAAAAATTTGACCGTAGAAATGTGGTCTTTAAAGTAGGGCATTATAAGAGAAAAATCGTGTAGACAGCTTCAATTACCGCGGACATTGTGTTTCAAAATATTTTGAAGTCGTGAATTTAAATTTGTCTGTAAATAATCAGCATGGAAACCTACCCAACTATTGAATTGGCAAGGTTAAGATATTTGAAGAACCCAGGCAGCCATGTTTGTTACGAAGAGGCCAATGTTTGGGGTGTAATTGAATTAACACTATTAACTCAATTCACGTATTGGAGTCTTCATGATCCTTAAATGTATGAAACACTTTGATATTCAAAAAGAATTCTGTTCTTTGTTATAAAGTTCCCTTTTGGTCATCATGTAGCATGTTACAAAAGCCATAAAATCTATTTCTATTTACATTTCATGTAGAGTTTCCTCCCATGGGCGTAACCCGTTTCCTTATATGTTTTTTAATTTGCATTTCTTTGTAAAAGATAACAACGAGATACTGTTGGAATAAATTTAATATTACTTTTTATCATTAAAATCTGTTAGGATTGTCTCCTGAGATAACGTTGAGAAGAATTAAAAGTGAAATTTATCTAAAAAAAAAACCCCATTAATTAAGGGCCTCAATATTCGGGCATGCGCAGAACAGATTATTACCCCGCATGACCAGGCAATGAAATTACTATTAAACAAAAGGGCATGGTAGTAAATAAAAAAACTGAATCAACAATATTTATCTGAGAGTGGTTTTGTTCTTATTTACTTTGAAATAGAAATAGTGTGAACGATTCAGACCGGATGATTTTTAATCGAACAATAAATATGAAGGAGCCCAGTATTGTTTTCAACTTTTCCTTAATCTTAGCTGAAACTGCTAAGAAAGACTCTTCTAATGTTTGCAGATGTTGTTTAGCATTTTACCTCAGAGCCCTGTACATTTTTTTAATTCAAGCTGTGCCACCTGTAACTTATTCAATGTCAAGAACGCACAGACAGGTTGAACTTTGGTGGGTGTCTCTGTATTCAAGCATCAACAGCGCTTTGTTCCAAGTAAAAACAAATCTTAAAACAGTAGCTATGCTTTGGAAGCCTTTTTGCTTTTACAAGATACTATACGGTTGACAGATCATAATGATGAATATACTATCACTTTCTTTGACTTTTATTCAGAAAATTCTTACCGATCTGCGGTAAGGAATGTAAGGGATATATTTACCATAGTCATTGGTGATATTTAATTGTTATACTTAGCCGTTGTAAGGATGATCAGAATGACGCTTAAGTTATTTTAGAAGTAATGTGTCTAACACGCAGTAGGCATTTAAAAAATTGACATCGTTTTGTAGACTGATATATATTATGTCCTCTTTTTTGATGCATCTCTATATTTGGATCCGAAAATAAGTACCTATTTGTTTTTATCAATGATTTACCGTTTTTTATTAAATAAAGATCAATATACAATGTATCCCATGTAAAAAAAATTAAATCTTCTATTAGAAAAGAAATGGCATTCTAACTCAAAAAGACTTATTGTTTTTTGTACATTATTGAGTTAATTTGGAAACAAAACGTATTAAATGTCCTTTTTGCTCATCCCTCATGCTTTGCAGTTATTAAAACTACTTCGACGAGGTATAGATCGTATTCTGTTGATGCAGTCATGTTTACATTGACAGGTGCGCGGGAAATCACGTGACCCGGTCCAAATGTGCTCCGAGACAAATGTGCTCCTACAGAGCACTGTGTTCGGTAATACACACATAACTGTAATTCTGAACATGCAAATAACTCAGCACATAATTATCTAAGTGACACATGAAGTTATTTTCCATATCACAGTTCATTTATAAGTTTCACAAATAACAAGAAACATGTTATTTATCAAAATCACATGACCACTTAACCTTATGACGTCAGGTATCTGAAATTAGAATATTTGTAACATAGTACTTACTTGTCAAGCGTCGTAGTATTTTATTCTTGAAAATCTTTGCTTCTCCAAGGATCACGACGGAAAAGTAAAAGATTTGTCGGGAATGGAAGTGACATCATGTTTATGATGTCACTGCCTTATTATAACACTATTAAGAAGGTTAGATTGAAAAGAAAATTATGTTCGGCAATGCATGCATGTTCGGTAATATGACTGGCTTCTGTTAATGTCAGGATGTTTGCGCTCATAGTGACTTTGTTTCTATTTTAAGTAAAATGCAATCTTATTGTTTTTATACCTTTTGATTAATTAACACTTTGTTGAATTATTTTTAATGTATTTTCACCTTTATATGTTTATATTTTTGTAAAGAAACATACGTAAATCTTTATCCATTTGAAGGAAACGTCTGTGTCAGGTGACATGCAGCCAGACGTTGCTTTTATGCTCCCAGAGTTTCTATCTTCAATTAGGGTAGGCTCGTAGTCTGTAATAGAAACGTCATGGGAAAAGATTACATACCGAAACTACAGGTATTCAGATAATGATACTGTTTTGATTTAAAACTGTAACTAAACACTTTAATAGTTATAAGATTATTCAAGCAAAGCGTTCACCATATCCTTATCGTTACTGCAAGCTGATACGATCAGGCTCTCTACTACCATGTCCAATAACATCTAATTTAAAAAAAGAGTAACACACCCGGGTTTAATATTTTAGGTGAAACAATGACATATATATAAATTTAGAAACGATAGAAAATGTGAAAGGACATAATTGTCATATGAATTGCAGTGAAATAATACATAAAGTGCTAGCTTGTACTTTTCCTAGAAAACGAGGATTGTCGTTGTAACTGGCCAAGCTAATTTGAAGGCGGACTGATGGCGCATATTCACGATATATTTATAAGACACTAATTATTACCTTTGACACTGATATAATAAGAAGCAGTATTTGACCCATCCGAACAAACCAACGTTCTTCCGTTGAGCTCCATGGTTACCTTTAGTACTGTCAAGTCAAAAAGGTGCCGTGTCATGTCGAACAAAATATTGTATTGTTCAATATATTCTGGATTTAATCTGCAATCTTGATGTCTACATATTGCTATCGGTATAAAATTGTTTACATCAATCCACTCAATGGCAGATGTGTTCGTCTTAAAAATGCAAGATAATGTTATGCTTTTTCCACACTCACTTGTTTCATCAGTCTGATTGCCTTTTCTTTGAATAGTGATATTTGCACCTGAGTTCATATTGGAAAAAAAACACGAAATTACGAAATTAATATATATATATATGTTAACAGAAACTTTATAAGTGAGTTCAACCATTAAAAATAAAGTGAACACAATAATTATAGGTAAGTGTAACAGTAAATATGAAGTTAGCATGATGCAACAGTTAAATATTTTATCGAAACAGATTCTAAATTTATCAAAAAACACAATTTGTTTTGTTTATTTTTCATGAACAAACTTAAACAAAGGAATGAAAGGATATTAAAAGGCGGAGTATAGAAGAAACGTTCCAAAATCTGGAGTGACGCATCTTACAATGATTAATATTCCGATACTGATATTTGACATATCAATAGTTTATGAAAATCAAAACAAAGATGGCATTTGTGCAAGTTCAATACAGCCTTATAATGTTATAATGTATTTGTGCGTTTATCAGTGAAATATTGAATTGACGGCATTATCACTATGGATTCATTTTTTCTCATGGGTAATCATTACATATGTTCTATTTGCCATATTAATAATGTTTATGTTATCTTCTTAAGAAAAGAAAAAACATATCTTTACAAAACTTTGAAGTAGCATTTTATAAATAAGCAAATATATCATGATGTCGACCTGAAAACCAAGCATTCTACAGTTTAACATTTTAACAGTATTGTGGTAAATCTAATCAAATATTGTTCAGAGCTTATAGGAGGACAACCCATTTGTTACACTAAAATTCGTATTTGAAATTGCAAATATGGACTAGTTTAATCTTGCGTGTTCACAGGCAATCGAAACGCCACAGAGTAAAACTTTTTTCTTTTCTCTTTTTTTTTGTATTATCCGGTGTCGCGTAAATATCACACGGTCATATCCATTTCCACTTTTAATTTATGCCTTTTTGTAAACTTGCCTGTGACTTTGTTTACCAAAAAACGCTTTTGAAATTGGAGAAAAATTATTTTGGTGTAATTATTTCATTTTTCTAGTAATATTTGTTTACTCCCGATTGAATGCCTGATATCGAGGAAATAATTCATCTTTCGTAGGGCATTTTATAAAGCACTTAATTCATGTAGGTACCAAGTAAATGCTTTAAAAAACTTGCAAGGTGTGTTTCATTTGTTTCTTGTTTTATTGTTTCATTTCATATTATATGGAAATAATGCATGCTACTCTGAGCATAAGAATTGTATACTGCCGCGTAAAAACCGCGGGTGTGGTAACACGGGAAATTAATGTCAATCTTGTTGATTTTCTTTTTATGTTCAAATGACAAAAAAACGGAGTTTCTCGTTCAAATAGAATGTGTGCTCCCGATTTCACAACAAGCATGCTAAAGACATTTTCTCTAATAATTTAATTGTGTACGTCTGGACAAAAAGATCGGCAGCCGATCAACATTTAAATCATTTTTTGTTAACAATATTTAGCTCTTCTGCATTTTTATCATCATCTATATGTAGCGCTTATTGTCATTAAGGTAACATCATGAATATTGTCTTCCATACAAATGTAAAATCACTATAATAACTTTAATAATCAATAAATAAACAACAAAGACAAAACGCTCATTCTCAATAAAACACAGCATTTGATGTTCCACTGGGTAGCTCTTATACGAAGGTTTTTCTTGAGGTCAAAATGTCGTTAGAAAGGTGGCTGCCACTTTGTCTAATAGGGACACTCTCAGTTTTACATTTCTATCTGTTATTTTTCTTTTACAAGTACTATTAATGCCCTAAAATGTAACATACGTTACTGTCGCCACCTAGGATTTTCAACTTTGAAATTGTGTTACAGAAAAATAAGTTCCAGAATAAACGAAACATGTGCAATTAGTGATTGCTGTGTGTATATGCACTTTGATTATTGGTAAAAATTATATTTGAATGTTAAAATCTCATTGGTATAATGAATGATCAAATGTCGCCAAATGCATATAAATAAATAGTGACAAACCTAAAACAATAAGAAGTGAAACCCAAATTACATAATTGAATCGATGCATGCTTAATAATACAGCATGTATATAATTATAAGTAAAAATAAGCTTGCAGCCTCTCAAATATCATTCTATTTTCGGAAATTTTCATTTTTTATTCAAATCTTTTCAACAGCACTTTAAAAAGAAACATACGTTACCATTATTTAAGAGCCAATCCATTCAAAGAAGAATCCAAACAAGAAAGAAAATTAACATGTGTGTAACTCTGATATATTAACCACAAATTATGGCGGCTTAAACGGTCTTGCGTCATTTTTAACCCACTTTTAATGTAAAAATGAAACATACGTTACAGAAACATACGTTATCAACTTTTTAAAGTAAGTTTATCAAAAGGGAAATTGAAGTCAGAAAGCACGTATAACATCAACATTAACTTCTATTTGACATTAGTAAGTAAATTTTGTTAACTTTGGTCGTGTTTTTACTTGTTTAAGTAACCACAGTGAAACAAACGTTACTTTTATCAAACAGACTTTATATTTGTTTACACATGCATATATAAAAACATAAAGTCGTATTTTTATGACAATAGAATGATGTGCATTTGATTCCTAAATAAAAAAAGTCGATTTTTACATGTAAGTTTAAATTCCGTGATAAAAGTTCATAAATAAGCGAGTGTGAAACATACGTTACTCCAACTTACAATTCAACAATTTTTGAAAATTAAAGATAAAGTTGGGATTAGCATGCCTGTTAGTAACGGTTACCTTGTATTAGATGTAAGAAGACACAAAATTGTTTTTAAAAAGGAAAGATATGTTAATAATATGTTGATGTACCAACAGAAATGTTAAAAATATATTACAAGATATTGATGTTCTCAGCAACAACTAATTCGTTTCTGCAAAGAGCTTACTGCGCCGTATTTCATTCTATATATAATAATGTTAAAATAATATCCATAAATATAAATTATTTTACAAAAAGTAAAATTGTTTTCTCAACCTTTACTTGAATTTGAATAAAATGAAACATACGTGACATCCTATATGGGGATGAATATCAAACTGTTTAGTACTAAATTTTCCAAATATTAAGAAAGTGGAAAAGTTGAATATTTTGAGAAAAAAAATGCTAATACAAAAATTGTGTATGCATTCGACCTCTCATATATTATATATGATATATATCCTTTGAATGAAGACATAAAATAATCATTTTCAAAATTGACTATTTTTGCTTTCTACGAATATTTAACTTTGAAGAAATGGACTGAAAATTAGCAAGGTACCCAACTTCTTTGAATTTTCCTGGGTTAGAAAGTCCCTCTAGATAGAGAATTTACAGATTTTGATATATTTTACAGACATTTGTTATTAATATGCAGCCAATATGTTACATTATTAGATCTGAAATCTACGTTACCGAAGAAATACAGTGTCATTACCGAAATAAATGCCATCCTGTTATATCATAGTTTCTTGTTCAAAATATTTCTGGCAAACTTGCAAAATACCCTAAACATTTACTTCAGCGATAAAAAATGACACAATAACAACATCAAATTTTTAATATTTTTCAACCTCAAATGCTTTATTTTATTGAGAATGGGCGAAAAGATGGTTCAGCTTCAGGGTCGATAAGTTCTTTTTTGAAAATTATAACATGACAACAGAGTTAAAAGTTTTTGAAAAAATAGAAGCTTTAAGATTAAATGGGTCTAAAAAAATCGTATTTTCGCAGTCGTATCAACATTATTTCATTTTAAATTACAAACTTAATTTCATCAATCATCTGTCACTATTACATCTTTTTTTGTCATATAAGTCATCATTCTGTAGTTTGAACATGAGTTAACTATGTAAGAATTATATCAATATAAAGCAATTTCAGCATTTTATAACAATTATCTTCCGTAATACAAACATGTATTATTTCTACGTTTTAAAGCTTTAAAGTATGATAAAATAAAAAATTTTCTCATACCTTCCCTCTTGAAAAGATGTTAAACCTGCCCCGCCCAAAAAATTTAAAAACACCCCAAAGAACCAAAGCTCTGAAAAAAAGGGGGAGTTGATTTAATAAATTTGTCCTTAAAAAAGTATATTGCCGTTGTTTTCAAAAAATCTACTTTTCCTTGTGGTTTGGGGACAAGAAAATAATTCAACATATTTTATTTCATCCTAGCTCTCTGATCGGGTGTCTTTCCTATTTGCTTTCAGTCAAAACATATTATGAATTTTTCCTGGAAAACGATAAACAATGATAAAAATTACGCGTGGTAAGGATTAGAAATTATTTTTAGAACAACATTTATGTATTGATCGATCGCGATTTAATATTTACCCTGTCTGAACTTAAGATTGGGATTTTAAACATATTCTAAGTGTATATGCAGCGAAATACGGCTATTTATACTTTGCGAAACCGAACACAACGGAACAGAACAAACATTTGGGGCACCATACGGGGCACAGCAATATTTTACAAATATTTTTGCTAATATTGTTTCCTAAATAAAAAATTGTAACTGCAGACAAAAGGGTCGATCAAGGGCTTTTTTAAGAATTTTTTCCAAGTTAAATCGTCTGAATAGACATAATTTTAATAAAATCTTGGGAGACTGCGAACAGTTGTTCTGTTTTGTTCCACAGAATATGAATATCCAATAGGGATAGGAAACAATAAATGTCTTGTCCCGTTCTATTGAATATCATGAGTCGCCGGTAGAAGCCGGCGACTAAATTTGTAACAGTTTAATAATGTATCTATGATTTTGGAAGGCCTTACAATCTGAAACTGTAAGCAAATCAATTATTGAACAATTAAAAATCACAATTATTTTTTCATTTATCTTATAAATTCAAACATATACCGGGTAATAACGTTGCTCACATTTGCATTTGTAAATCGTCGTCACCGCAAAACTGTATAGTAATTACAAACAGTTATATTGTTTGCTTGCAACAACAAAAGAAAAGTATGCATCTTTATGATATATGATATATGATACTGAATGCATAAATGATGGTTTTTCTTTTTTTCCTATTGCAGATCTCTATATGAT